TGAGGACATGCATCATTGCGAACAGCAACTGTTGTTCTTTTAACAAGCCTGAACACCACTGGCTAAGTTCACCGGCACATTGAAATCAACACACCATCACTACCTTACAAAGACATTAATCATAAACGCAGAAAGCAAAAGAGCCTTGGGACAAGTGGTGTTGAGCCAATGCAGGCGAGTTAATCATCAAATCAACATTAACTGCGGGGTAAAGGCTGCCAGGCCAACAAAGCCGTCTTTGTTTGTTTATGCTTTGGCGCAAGCAAGGACGCAAGTTGCAGGCTGACGTTGTCAAAAGCCCTAACATTAATGACAACCTATCATTTAGTTATTAGCTAACAGAACAATGCAGGTCTATTTGCTATTTTCCAAAAACATGACGTTATGGATTAAGCTGTGATAGTAAATTCTGTCAGCAGACAGAAATAACACATTCATATGATACTAGCTCGTATTTAGTCTTCTTATACAAAATCGCACACATTCACAAACGTTTATTTTGATCCATCAAAATCATTCTGAAGTCTCACCTTCCTCCAGGCCCTCACGGAACAATCCAGAGCTACTCATAGTGCGGCTCTTTTCCTCCAGGCTCATCGAGGGGTTCCTCAGACGTGGGTCGCTGTAGGGGTCGCACGGGTTGTCGTGATTGCCCTGACCGTTAGTGCCGCGCAAAGTTGCTATCTGAGAAGCTGTGCAGGGACTGCCTGGATTGTCAACACAGGGATCAAGGTTAAAAAAGCACTACGATTGAACCTAATGACATGAAAGTGCATTCAAAGTTCACAATAAGGGGGAGACTAGTAGATATTTTACTTAAAGCATAAGCAAATGAAAAAATAAAATTTTCAATAAAATTGACAATTCTAACTTAAAACTTAAACTTAACTTAAAACACAATTTGAGCTGCATTAAGTCTGCTGCTAGTATTGGGTAATAATCCTGATTATCTAAAATAATCTTTTACCCTTACTGGACATTTATTGATATCAGATTTTCTAGATCTAGAACAGTGTTTAACTAAAATTGGGTTTTTAATTTTTTCTATTTTTTTCAAATTAACTTTAGATCACCATTAGATGACAGCAAAGGTAATCTAAATGTACAAAAAAGGGAAATGAGCAAGTAAAATTTAATATTCAAAATCAATATATATATATATATATATATATATATATATATTAAATTGATCAAAGTGACAGTAAAGACATTTATTTATTTTTTTTTTTTTTTTTTTTTCCACACACAAAGAAATTGTATGACTTGAAGACTTGGACTATAGCACTTCAAAAATGATCAATGATCATATGATTATTTTATGCTTTCTTTCCCTGCTGACGTACCCTGTGTTCATGTCCACCAGTGACCTGTGCCAAGCACTACTCGGTCAATATCCTTCTCATGATATGCACACATGCTCTCTTATGCTTCATTGCCGATGTTGTTTTTGCTATAACAGCTGCCTGCTTACATTTTTAAAGGTGAACTGTGTTTACAGTACAACAAAAACAACCATTTAAAAGTTTGGGGTCAGTAATATTTTTAATGTTTTTAAAAGAAGTCTCATATGCTAACCAGGCTGAATTTGTTTGATCAAAAATATAGTAAAAAAAAACGTAATATTGCAAAATCTTAATACAATTTAAAAGAATGGTTTTCATTTTTAATATATTTTAAAATGTAATTTATTAATGTGATGCAAAGCTGAATTTTCAGCATCATTACTCCAGTCTTCAGTGTCACATGATCCTTCAGAAATCATTCCGATATGCTGATTTGCTGCTCAAAAACATTTCTTATAATCAATGTTAATGCTGTTTAATATTTTTGAGGAAACTCTTATACATTTTTCAGGTTTCTATAATTAAACCAAAGTTCAAAAGAACAGTTTTTATTTGAAATTGATTATATATATGTATGTATGTGTGTGTGTGTATATACAGTATCTTACAGAAGTGAGTACACCCCTCACATTTTTGTAAATATTTTATTATATCTTTTCATGTGACAACACTGAAGAAATGACACTTTGCTACAATGTAAAGTAGTGAGTGTACAGCTTGTATAACAGTGTAAATTTGCTGTCCCCTCAAAATAACTCAACACACAGCCATTAATGTCTAAACCGCTGGCCACAAAAGTGAGTACACCCCTAAGTGAAAATGTCCAAATTGGGCCCATTTAGCCATTTTCTCTCCCCGGTGTCATGTGACTCATTAGTGTTACAAGGTCTCAGGTGTGAATGGGGAGCAGGTGTGTTAAATTTGGTGTTATCGCTCTCACTCTCTCATACTGGTCACTGGAAGTTCAACATGGCACCTCATGGTAAAGAACTCTCTGAGGATCTGAAAAAAAGAATTGTTGCTCTACATAAAGATGGCGTAGGCTATAAGAAGATTGCCAAGACCCTGAAACTGAGCTGCAGCACGGTGGCCAAGACCATACAGCGGTTTAACAGGACAGGTTCCACTCA